GTATTAGTCAGAAATAGAACCAACCAACTAGAAATACAGATGCAGAGAGAGAGAGAGAAATAATGGAGAAAGTGGGAAAAATAGAGTATTTTTAAGGAAATGGTCCATTATGAAGACTGGTGAGTTCAAAATCTGCTGGGCTGGCCACCCAGGGAAGGAGACCCAGGGAAGACCTTCAGTTCAAGTCCAAAGGCCTTCTCAGGGGAAGTCAGTCTTTGCTCCGTCAAGACCTTTGGTTGATTGAATGAAGCCTACATACAACACAGAGGGCAATCTACTTTATTCAGAGCCCACCCATTTGAATATCAATCTCATCCAAAAAGCACCTCCAAAGATACCCTTTACACAGGATGGCACCGAAGGTGAAGAGGGAAGTTCCTGCCCTTCCCAAAGCTGAAGCCAAAGCGAGGACTATGGAGGGCCAAGAAGGCAGTGCTGAGAAGCAACCAGGGCCACAAAAAAAAAAAAAAAAAAAATCCCCACATCACACACCTTCTGGCAGCCAAAGACACTGAGGCTCTGGAGGCAGCCCAGATATCCTCAGAAGAGCTCCCCAGGTGAACAAGCTTGACCGCTAGGCCACCTGCAAGTTCCCCTGACCACTGAGCCTGCCGTAAAGAAGACAGAAGACAGAAGACAGAAGGCAACATTCCTTGTGGGCGTCAAAGCCAACAGCACCAGATCAAACAGGCCTCGAGAAAGCTCTAAGACATTGAGGTGGCCAAGGCCAAACACCCTGATCAGGCCTGCAGGCGAGAAGAAGGCATATGTTCAACAGGTTCCTGATTATAGTGCTTTGGATGTTCTGAATAAAATTGGGATCATCTTCTAAACCAAGTCCAACTGGCTAATTCTAAATATATCACTTTTCACTATATATTTTTTAAAAAGCATCTCCACAGAAACATCCAAAATAATGTTTGACCCTGTGCCTGTGCACCGTGACCACACTAGGTTGACACACACAATCAACCACGGCACTAGCCACAAATAAGGCTTTCGGTGGTCATCACCCTCAAGTCCAGTGAAACCTCAAGATCTTAGGGCATTTTGAAGTGTCTGAAATAGCAGAGGCCACTCCCACTCCTTGTGGCAGGTCCAGGGACCCTGAGCACCCAGAATTTTCTAGAACATTCACTTTTGGAACCTGGAGAGGGTGGTCCTGTGCTGGCTCTGAAGATGGCCTGGAGAGAGGAGTCCTTGGTGGCCACAGGTGGAATCTCTAGGATCTGAGGGATGGAGTGTGGGCAGAGGACTGGCCAGCAGGAGGCCAGGGTGTGGGGAAACCTCAGACACAGAAGCAGGACAGAAGGGACTGGACGGTGACATGCCTCTCTGCTCTAAGACGGGCCAAGGTAGGGCCCAGAGGGCTCTGCTATGGTGCCAGGGACCCTGAGCAGGGTCCACTGGGCGGGACAGCTGGACCCAGACCTCTCTGTCTGGGACTGAATTCACCCCTCACATATCTCAGAGCAGGGGTGGGCCTGGGTGGGCCTTGGTGGCCAGAGCTGCAGCTGCACCATCTGGGGACTCCCAGCCCAGCCTTTGAAGGCCCCCAGGATCCAGCCAGACCTGGATTTCCAACCACAGGAGGATGTGGTCTGTGCTGCATCAGCTTGGAGGCCATGGCAGGTGCAGGGCCGGAGAATGGGGAGGGCAGAAAGGGAGCAGCTGGGGATACTATGTTTAGGGACAACCCCTTCTCCCTGAAACCTGGAGCTTTAGGGAGAACCATGGCTTCCGTGTCCTGGACAGTGGGTGGGTGTCATACCCTCGGAAGGAGGTGAGGAGAAAGCAGCTTTAGCCTGAATCCCCAGGTTGGACCCTGCTCCAGCCCCAAGGTTCAAAGGGGCAGTGGGGGATCCAGGTCAGAGGCAGGAGTAGGTCAAGCTCCCAGGGCTTCCTCTGTACCCTGCATGATGTTATAGGGCATCCCTCCCCCTTACTGTTCCATGCCTTGACCATCTCCCTGAGGACGGCGAGGTCTCAGGGTTACAGCACCCAGCCCTCAGGGGACTCCCAGTGTTTGTGGGACTCTAGGAAGCAGGCAGTCACATCAGGTCTTGGAATCTGACCTCAATGGGAATTCCTGATCTCTGTGGCATAAGGCAAAGTCTGTCTGTTACAGCATCCCATGACCATACTGGCCAGCTGCCAGGGGCTATCTGGGGTGGCCTGACTCCCAGAGGAGACTTTGGCATCTCTGGACTCTTTATGGGGGATCCTGGGGCAAGCCTCACAGAGATGACCACATTTCGGGGCAGCACTACCCTGGGGAGACATGGCCTGGACAGGGACACAGAGAACCTAAAAGGCGGTTTCAAACATGAACAGCAGATCAACCAACTGTGAAATGTGAAATGTCAATTTGACAACAAGCTTCGACTCAGACCCACAGCTGAGCCAGTGTGTTCCGAGATAGCATTTTTCAAAAGATTTTCCACCAAAACTCCCAGTAAGAAATAAGTTTTCCATTCTTATCCAGAGCAGACATAGTTATTTAGATAACTGAAGCAAAATCCCATTAACAATCCCACCCCTCCCTGTTCACGGATGCTGTCCAGATGGATGCTCTGGGCTACCTCACTTTTGCAAAATGCTCACTGCTCCACTCTTAATTGATTTCATACCCTCTGTGAGCTGCAAAGCAAGAGTCAGAAAGTGGTCGCTGGAGCACAGTTTCATCTGCGGTACATTTATGTCATGGTGGTTAATGATTCTTCCCAGGCTTTGCCAGCGGGGCCAGCCGGTAATGACAGTCACATCAGCCCTGTGCGTTGTGCCTGCAGCACTTCTCAGATTAAAAAGTGCCTTCAGGCCAGCTGCCATGGTTTACACCTTTAATCCTAGCACTCTGGGAGGCCAAGGTGGGTGGATCACCTAAGTTCAGGAGTTCCAAGGGCAAGACTCCATTTCTACTCTAAAAATAGAAAAAACAGCTGAGGCATTGAGGCGGGCACATGTAGTCTCAGCTACTCAGGTGGCTGAGGCAAGAGGAGTTTGAGGTTGCCATGAGCTATGATGACACCAGGGCACTATAGCTAGGGTGACAGAGTAGACTCTGTCTCAATAAATGAATAAATAAATAAATAGTGCCTTCAAAGGACAATTAGCGTATGATCCCACTCATATAGTGCCTGGGACAGTCAACTGCATAGAGACAGGATATAGAATGGGAAGTGCCAGGAGCTGAGGAGAGGGGTGTGGGAGTTATTTTTTTTTTTTTTGAGACAAAGTCTCAAGCTGTCACCCTAGATAGAGTGCTGTGGCATCACAGCTCACAGCAACCTCAAACTCTTGGGCTTAAGCGACTCTCTTGCCTCAGCCTCCCAAGTAGTTGGGACTACAGGCGCCCGACACAATGCCCAGCTATTTTTTTGTTGCAGTTGTAATTGTTGTTTGGCAAGCCCGAGCTGGATTGAACCTGCCAGCTCTGACTCATGTAGGTGGGCAGCAGGTGGCCAGGAGGGACTCAGCCCCAGTGTGGAGTGGCAGGGGCCGGCTCTTTGTTGGCACCGTGATGCCTTAGGTTCTGAGAGTGGCAGGCACCCTAGGCGCTGAGCCTGGGAGTTATTTTTTAATGCAGAGTTGCAGGTTTTTACAAGGTGAAAAAGTTCTAGAGAGAGATGGTGGTGGTTACGCAACACTGTGAATGCACTGAATGCCCTAAACTATACAGTTAAAAATGATCAAGATGGTAGATTTAATGTCATGAATATTTTACCACAATTTTTTAAAAAGCTAAAGCAAAACCCCAAAAAATCTGCTATCACACCAATTATCTCCCAACACTGACCTCATTGTGGTCCTGGGAACCAGCCCCACTGCCAGCCTCCCCTGGGGAGGAGGACAGGAATCTGGAGACTCTCAGGAGGCATCACGGTGCCAACAAAGAGCCAGGCCCCTGCCACTCCACACTGAGGCTGAGTCCCTCCTAGCCACCTGCTGCCCACCTACAACAACACTGGGGACCTGGGAGGAGGGAAGGGGGTAGGACTCCCAGGGAGGGAGAAGGTCAGGGCCTGGCGGGAACAATGGTCTGTTGTGCCAGACTCAGCTCCAGCCATGGTGACTCCACACACTGCTCTTAAGAAAGTAGTTACCATCCTGGGCGGGTGAAATCTCCAAAAAAGAGTCCAGCAGATTTACATAGAGACAGTGTGGAGCACAGTTGGAAATGGCTGAGAGCATAGATCTTAAATGTTCTCACTACAAAAAATAAGTATGTGCAGTGATGGATATGTTAATTAGCTTGATTCAATCATTTCACAGCTCGTACATATAAGAATACATCATGCCGTACACCATAAACACATATAATGTTGTCAGTTATACCCTTAGAAAGCCAGGAAATGGGGATCTATGAAAGTGTGTGTCGGTGTGCATGTGGGTGGCGGGTGTCTCTGTGTGTGTCCGTGTGACAGGAGGCCCGTGAGGTGTTGAACGTGGTTCATTACACACCATTTTTAATATTGCATCATGATTCCTGGACTTGAATCTCTGTGGCTTTTTGCTAAACATAAACCCGTTTCGTCCCCTCTCACCAACTCCTCCTCCCAGGCTGGGTGGGAGAGCTCCAGCTGCAGCCCCAAGCTCCAGCTTGGGGACTCCTGTTTGGCGGGGCAGCTCTCCCCAGCCCCAGCAGCCCACAGGAGTTGCTCACAGACCCAGGGAGCCCTAGGGGATGTGGGGACAATGGTGGGTCAGGTGTGCCTCACCCAGGGCCCCAGGGGCAGAGGTGGGGAGGCATCAGTTGAGCCCTGGATCCAGACCACAGCAGAACAGTTGGCAGATGTCCCTGTGAGAGAAACAACCCCTACCCCACCCCCAGTGTAACAGCCACGGACCCTGGAACGGACCAGAGGCAGTCCAGGGAGAGGAGGGGGCCACATAGACTGGGACACACAGGGACGGCCACTGCCAGCGAAGGGACCAGGGTACCCTCTTCCAGGGAGGCCACGCCACAGTTGAGCCACAGGTGCCTTTGACCCTGAGGGCAGATGAGGCTCAGGACAGGACAGGTGGGCCGGGAAGCCCCCCGGGGACCAGGGCCTGGTCCCAGGCTACGCTGGCCCCTGATGCTGCTGGGCCTGGCCGTGGGTGTCCCTGGTCTCCTGTCCTTGACAGCAGTACCTCAGAGAAGGGCCCCAGGCCCTGGAGCCTGGGAAGGAAGCGCCCCATCCAGCCTGCAGAGCCCACGGAGCAGGTGAGGGGCAAGAGACTCGGGGAGCACGTGGGGTCCTGTGGTCATAGCCAGGAATGGGCAACCAAGGGGAGACCAGCCAGGGGGTGCCAAGGAAGGCTAACCCCAGAGGGGTCCTGGGCAGACACCGGTTTTATTTAAAGTGTTGATATTTTGGCTATCATGGATTTGTTTAAATTAATTTTTATTTTTAATACCATGTTAAAATACTATTTATCTTGATTCCTGAGTTTTATGCTCCCCCACTGAATGCTGTACCAAGGCTGCACCCTACTCTCCTCCCCCAAGTCCCCCGAGTAAGGTAGAAATGGAGGCAGGGTGTCCTCATCCTCATAGGCGTGGACTGCTGTATGTACAGGACGCCCAGGCCTCCTTTTCCCCTCCCTCCTCTCTGAGGCTGTGCCACCTCTGCCCCTCAGCCTCGCTGGGCGGGGGCCACTCCCCAGCACACCAGGTGGTGGGCTCCAGCTGATGATGGAGGGGGCCTTCCTTGGGGTTCCCAGGTACTCAGATGCTTAGCCAAGGACCCTCAGCCAGGGTGGACTCCTGGGATGGGTCCCTTGAGAGCCCAAGTCCACCCAGGGTGCAGGTGCCTCCAAGGGAAAGGCCCGAGGGTGCGGCCCTCCTTGCTGTGTGACCCCAGCCCTCTCCTCTCTGTGTGGTGGGAAGTCTCCAAACACTACACTGAGCATCTGGGTCCATTTATGACAGTCTGTGCCAACAGCCCATTGGTCCCTGGTACACTCTGTACCCCTTGGGCCCTATTCATTTTGGAGGCAAACCTTCCCCTCAGGACCTGCTGTCACTCCATTTTACAAGCAGGGGTGGAGGCCAGAGCAGTGAGATGACCTGCCCAAGATCACACAGTTCCTGTGCACAGGACTGCCCTTCCCCCCTGTCCAGCCCCAGGCATGATGGCCTCATCCCCTGAGCTGTTAGGAGCTAAGTCCACCTCTCAGGCCTGTTTCCCCTTCAGCAAAGTGAGGAGTTCTAATGGGTGAGGGCCTTGGAAGTAGAAGGACCCATCTGGCAAAGTCCTCACAGGCAGCAAGAACAGGCTCCCAAAGGTCCACAGGGCCAGGCAAGTGGGCCCTGGAGCCACAGTGGTCTGAGAGGAGGCTGGACAGGTGGTCAGAGACCCTGAAGACAGACTTCATCTGGGCAGTCCCAGAGGTCGTTTTCAGGGAAGTGACAGGACCAGAATTGGTGGGTGGACAGGAGTGGGAATCCAGAGATAGAGTGCCCCCAGGGAGGGTGTCATGGTGACCCAGAGTTTGACAGGACAGAACAGGGGTGTGGAGGTGAGAGGAACAGGAGAGGAAGGATGGAGGACCACCTGTGACTTTTTTTGGTGGACAGTTAAAAGGACACTGTGACCCTACCAGTGGGTCCTGTATTTTAAACAAAATAGTCCCAGAGAAGGGGTGGTCCGCAGGGTGCAGAGAGGGGGAGTTAGGGCTTGGCTTGGCTTGGGCTCCCCAGGCTGTCTACTCCAGGAGAGCCTGAGTCAAGGCTGTCTGTCCAATTGTGGAAACAGAGCCATGGCCCAAGAAAAGAGAAGGCATCCCTGCCTCTGTGGACAGGATGCCTGAGCTGGTCCTGCAGATGGGGAGTATTGGCTGGTGTCCTGGTGCCTGCAAAGGGGGCAGCGTGGAGAGCAGGACAGCGAGGCCAGCAGAACAGGAGCCCCGGTCTCAGTCCTCGGTCCAGGAGATTCCTCAGGGAATCTGAGTAGGGACTGTCACAGCTAGATTTCCAGATTCGAGGAGGGAGAGCAGAGGCAGGGAGGGGGTGGAAGCTGAATTTGGGGACTCAGAAAGTGGGGAGTTGGGGAGCCTGTCACTAGGCTCATGCCCGGGGATGCAGAGCTGTGCCACCAGGTGCCAAGATCCCCGTGACATGGGCAAGTGAAGGTGGAGTGACAATGTCAGAGGTTGAGCCGTGAGGAAAGTGTGCTCTCACCAGCTGACAGTGGGAGAATGAATTTCTGAAACATGTATGAACCTTCATTAAAATGTGCATTCCATTTAATTAATTCCACTTCTAGAAATATAACTTGGGGAAATAATAAAAACTTCAGCTAGATATGATCGTGGGGTAAAGTGGAAGCAACCTCTGTCCATAGGGGAAGGTAAAATAGATTATGGCACATCCATGGTCGGGAATATTCTATGTTTTTGATCACTGTAATAAAACAATCAAGGTTTTTAAAAAACAGACTGCAATATATCTTTTTTTTTTTTTTGAGACAGAGTCTCAAGCTGTCCCCTTAGGTAGAGTGCTGTGGAGTCATAGCTCACAGCAACCTCAAAGTCCTGGGCTTAAGCCATTCTCTTGCCTCAGCCTCCCAAGTAGCTGGGACCACAGGCGCCCACCACAATGCCTGGTTATTTTTTGGTTGTAGTTGTCATTGTTGTTTGGCAGGCACACGCTGGATTTGAGTCCACCAGCCCTGATGTATGTGGCTGGTGCCTTAGCGGCTTGAGCCCTATTTTTTTATATTATTTTAATTTACAGGTACTGAGCCCTATTTTTCTATTTTATTTTAATTTACCCAGAGTAAAAATCATTCTTTCTGCAGTAGCAAAAAAAAAAAAAAAGCCATGTAAAATTTGTTTTGAAATCATGGAATCCTGTAGCCACCCAGCAGAATCCAGATAAACAGAAGTTCCGTCACCCCCAGCACACACAGAATTCCCTTTGATAGTCAAACCCTTTTTCTGCCCCTACCATGGCAATCATCGATCTCTTCCTGACTCCATCTTGCTTTTTCCAGAATAGCATATAAATACAATCATAAATTATGTAAACCTTTTTTTTAATTAAAGTTTTAAGATTATTGTAGATTTATTCTTGCAGTTGTAAGAAGTATAAAGACCCCTTGTATTCTTTGCCCACTTACTTCCCTGTAGTACAAGACTCCTGACAACTACTAATTTTGTCTCCATTTTTATCATTTTGTCATTCTAGAGTGTTCTATAGGTAGAATCACATACAGTAGAACCTCCATAGTTGACCACCTCGTTACACTGACCACCTCCTTGAGTTGACCTGATTTTCATAGACGGACATGCACCACATGCCCGTATCAGCACAGCAGGCCTAGTTCCTTATGTCAACCACCTCTGTGCGTCATCCGGTTCATTACAGTCCCTTGGGGGGTCACCTGACAGGTTCTACTGTAGTGTGTAAACTTTGGGGACTGGGGTTTTTTTGCTCAGCATGATTGCCTGGATGTTCAGGTGATTGTATCCTAATTTCTTTCTTTCTTCTTGCAGAATAGGATTCCATTTGTGAGTATATCACAGTTTGTTTAGCCATTCACCAGTTGAGCGACATTGGGGTGGTTTCCACTTTGGGGCCATGTTGCATAAAGCCAGTAGTATAAACACTTGCATGTAAGTTTTTGTTTGAATGTACGTTTTTGCTCCACTTGGATAAATACCTTGGAGTGGGATTTGCTTGGTATGTATAAGTGTATATTTATTAGAAATTGCCAAAGATTTCCAAAGTGTCTATGCCTTTTTACATTCCCACAACAAATATCCATGATATTTTAATCACTGTAAAAGGAAAGCCCAAAGCAGTCCATTTCTGTCCCCTCACCTCCCAGCCCCAGTAACCATTCTGCTTTCTGTTTCTATTTAATTCAAAAGTGTTTGTAATAGTAATACAGTAAGGCTGGTAATGTGACCTTCTGTGTCTCTCTTATTTGACTGAGCATTATGTTTTCAAGATTCATTAATGGTGTAGCAGGTGTTAGTATGTCAGTCTTTTTGTGGCCAAATAAGGTTTCACTGTATGGATATTCCAGTCTCATTTATCCATTCATTAGTTGACCGGCATTAGAATTATTTCTACCTTTCGGTGATTGAGAAGAGAGCTTTCATGAACGTTTGCATTTGTATTTGAATACCTGTTTTCAGTTCTTTGGAGTATATGCCTAAGAGCAGAGTTGTTAGGTCCTGTGATGACTCTATGTTTAATTTTTGGAAGAACCACCAAAGTGAATCTCACAGTGGCCGTAATCCCACCAGCACTATACGAGGGTTACAGTTTCTCCACATCCTTGCAAATGCCTGTTAATTTCCTTGTTTTTTTATAGTCATCCTACGGCCCGTGTTTTCGCTTGCATTTTCCTAGTGACTAATGATGTTGAATATCTTTTCTTTTCTTTTCTTTTTTCTTTCTTGAGACAGAGTCTCACTATGTTGCTCTTGGTAGAGTGCTATGGTGTCACAACTCATAGCAACCTCAAACTCTTGGGCTTAAGTGATTCTCTTGCCTCAGCCTCCAAAGCAGCTGGAACTACAGGTGCATGGCACAATGCCCGGCTATTTTTTTGTTACAGTTGTCATTGCTGTTTAACAGGCCTAGACTGGGTTCGAACCTACCAGCCTCAGTGTATGTGGCTGGCACCGTAACCACTGAACAATGCCCAGCTATTTTTTTCTTATAGTTGTCATTGCCGTTTAGCAGGCCTGGACCGGGTTTGAACCCACCAGCCTCAGTGTATGTGGTTGGCACCCTACCCACTGAACTACAAGCGCTGAGCCAATGTTGGATATCTTTTCATGTGCTTGTTGGCCATTTTTGTATCTTTTTTGGAGAAATAGCTGCTCAAGTTCATTGCCAATTTTTTAATTAGGTTGTCTATTTGTTGTTGAAATGCAAGATACCACACCTGAATCAAATCATATACCACCCTTGTCAAATATACAATTTGCAAATAGTTTCTCTCATTTGTGAGTTGTATTTTAACTCTCTTAATAGTGCACTTTGATGCACAAAAGGTTTTACTTTGAGTGGAGTCCAATTTATATTTTTATTCTTTTATTGCTTGTACTTTCGGTGTCACATCTAAGAATCTGCTGTCTAACCTAAGGTCATAAAAACTTACACCTAAGTTTTTTCCTAAGAATTTCATAGTTTTAGCTCTTACACTTAGGTCTTTGATCAATTTTGAGATAATCTTGAAAACAGTAAGAGAGTGGGATCTAACTTTCTTACTTGCTGTGTGGATATCCAGGTTGTCTTAGCACCATTGTTGAAGACATTTATTATGGCCCTCACTGACCTGTCATAGTACCTCTGTCAGAAAATCAACTGACAATGTCCATACTGCCCAAAGTGATCTACAGTTTCAGCACCGATGCCATCAAATTCCAATGATTATTTTTCACAGAAATGTAAAAAAAAGAGGGGGGGAAGAAATCCTAAAATTCACATGGAACCACGAAAAATTCCAAATAGCCAAAGACATCTTGGTCAAAAGGAGAAAGCTGGAGGCATCACATCACCTGACTTTAAAATATTCTACAAAACTATACGAATAGTAGAGAAAACAGACACATAGGTCAATACAACAGACTAGAGAAGGCCAGGCACGGTGGCTCATGCCTATAATCCCAGCACTCTGGGAGGCCAAGGCGGGTGGATTTCCTGAGCTCACAAGTTCAGGACCAGCCTGAGCAAGACCAAGACCCCTATCTCTAAAACTAGCCAGACACTGTGGCAGGTGCCTGTAGTACCAGCTACTTGGGAGGCTGAGGCAAGAGAGTCACTTGAGCCCAAGAGTTTGAGGTTGCTGTGAGCTATGATGCCACAGCACTCAACTGGGGGCATCAAAGTGAGACATTGTCTCCAAAAAAAAAGTATGCAAAATTTCAGATAAGAAGAAGAAGTTCAAGATATCTATAGGTCAGCTCCAAGGTGGGACTAGAGCTCTCACTAGCCCTCTCAGCCATTCCAACACCCAAGCACAGAGACAAGGAAAATTAAGGAGAAGGAGGAAGTGAAAGGAACTATATCATATTTTCTCATCTACTGAGTAGTAATAAAAATGGAAAGGAAAAAAAAGACGTCTGTCGTACAAAATGCTGACTATAGCTAACATTGTAGTTTTGAAAGCTTCTAAGAGAGTAGATTTTAAATGTTCTCACTAAAAAAGAGTGAGAAAAAGAAAAGAAAGTCAATTGATAATAGATGTAAGGGTTTTTTTCTGGACTCTGTGTTCTATTCCATTGATGTACAAGGCTGCTCTTATGCCAGTAGCACGCTGCCTTGGTTACTTTAGCTTTGAAGCAAATTTTGAAATTGGAAAGTGTGAGAATTTTAATTTTAATTTTTTACAGACTTTTGCCTGTTGGAGTCCTTAGCAATTCTATATATATTTTATTTTTTTGTTTTTGAGACAGAGTCTCCCTTTGTCACCTTGAGTAGAGTACTATGGTGTGATAACTCACAGCAACCTCAAACTGAATTTGGATATTTAACTATAGTAAGTTTTTTGAAGACTTTTTAATTAGTTTCTGTATATGAGATCATGTCATCTGCAAATAGAGATAATTTTACTTCTCCTTTTCCAATATGGATAACTTTGCTTTCTTGTTCTTTGCTAACTGCTCTGGCTGGAGCCTCCAGTACAATGTTGCATAGAAGAGGCAAGAGTTCCTGTTCTTTTTTTTTTTTTTTGAGACAGAGCGTCACTATCTGGCCCTCAGTGGCATGTTGAGGCAGCTCACAGCAACCTCAAACTCTTGGGCTCAAGCAATTCTCCTGCCTCAGCCTCCAGAGCAGCTGGGACTACAAGTGCCCGCCATAATGCCTGGCTATTTTGGGTTGCAGTTGTCATTGTTGTTTAGCTGGGCCGAGCTGGGCTCTAACCCACCATCCTCAATGTATGTGGCTGGCACTTTAACCACTGAGCTACGGGTGCCAAGCCTCTTCTTGTTTTGTTCTTGATTTGGGAGAGAAAGTCTTCAGTCTTTCACCATTGAATATGGCATTAGCTGTGGACTTTTCATATATGCCCTTTATGACTTCAATGAAGTTCCTTTCTATTCCTAGTTTGATGAGTGTTTTATCATAAAATATTGTTGAATTTTGTCAACCCCTTTTTATGTGTCAATTGAGATGATCATGTGACTTTTCCCCTTCATTCCATTAATATGGTATAGTACTTGGATTGATTGTCTTAAGTCAAACCATCTTTGAATTCCTGGGATAAGTCCCACTTGCTATATAATCCTTCCTAGGCTACTGGTTTTGGTTTACTAATAGTCTGTTGATGATTTTTGCCTCTGTTTTACAAGGAATATTGTATTTTGTAGTTTTTTCTGATGACACCTGGGTTCAGTATCAGAATAATGATGGCTCATACAATGATTTAGAAAGTATTCCTTCCTTTTTTGGTTTTTTTTTTTTAAGTTTGTGAAGGATTTGTGAAGAATTGGTGTAAATCTTCTTTAAATATTTGATGAATTCCCAGGTGCGGTGGCTCAGGCCTCTAATCCTAGCACTTTAGGAGGCTGAAGCAGGAGGATCACTTGAGCTCAGGAGTTCAAAACCAAGCTGACTAAGAGCAAGACTCCATCTCTACTAAAAATATAGAAAAATATTAGCTGGGCATTGTGGTGGGCACCTGTAGTCCCAGCTACTTGGGAGGCTGAGGCAAGAAGAACTCTTGACCCCAAGAGTTTGAGGTTGCTGTGAGCTGTGATGCCAAAGCACTATACCCAGGGTGGTGGAGTGAGACTCTGTCTCAAATAAATAAATAAACATTTGATGAAATTGGTGAACCAATTTGGTGGAATCAGTGAAGCCATCTGGCCTCATCTTTTCTTGTGGGAATTTGTCTGATTACTGATCCCATCTCTGTACTTGTTGTAGGTCTGTTAACACTTTCTACTTCTTTTTTTCGAGACAGAGTCTCACTTTGTTACCCTCAGTAGAGTGTGTGGCATCACAGCTCACAGCAACCTCAAACTCTAGGGCTTAAGCCATGCTCTTGCCTCAGCCTCCCAAGTAGCTGGGACTACAGGTACCTGCTACAACACCTGGCTTTCTTTTATTTAGAGACAAGGTCTTGCTCTGACTCAGGGGGCTCTTGAACTCCTTTACACATGAAATAACTACCACTAAGGTTAGTGGCATTACGCAATTTGTTTTCCCTATATTGCATATCTTTTTCATTTCTCAATTTCTCTATTACTGCCCTTTTATTGGTTATTTTTAGTTTTATTCCATTTTCATTTTCTTTTCTGTATATACTTTAGTTACTTTCTTAGTGGTTACCTTGGGGATTTCAATTAACATTTTAAATGTATTTATAACAACTGAATTAGTTTGCTAGAGCTTCTATAACATGCTCCAGACGGGGTGGCTTAGCCAACAGAAATTGGCTATGTACAGTGGCTCATGCCTGTAATCCCAGCACTTTGAGAGGCTGAGGCAGGAAGATTGCTTGAGGCCAGGGGGAGTTCAAGAGTTCAAGGAGTTCAGCCTGGGCACCATAGCCAGACCATGTCTCAAAAAATAATTTAAAAATTAGCAGGTCCTGATGGTGTGTACCTATAGATGGGCAGATGAATAGAAAGAAGGACGGACAAATGGCTGCACAGACAGTTGAATAAGTAGATGGACAGAGTAGCCTGAAAGATCAGCGAAGGCTTCATGAATTAGGTGGGGCTCATAGAAACGAAAGCAGACAAGTTTCCATGTGGGGGGCATTTTTTCCCTTTCCGAGATAGAGTTTCACTCTGTTACCCTGGGTAGAGTGCCATGGCATCATCATAGCTCTCAGCAACCTCAAACTCTTGGGCTCAAGTGATCCTCTTGCCTCAGCCTCTAAGGTAGCTGGGATGACAGGCTCCTGCCACAGTCCCCAGCAATTTATTTATTTATTTATTTAGTAGAGTTGGGGTCTAGCTCTTGCTCAGGCTGGTCTCAAACTCTTGAGCTCAAGGGATCCCCTCAACTCGGCCTCCCAGAGTACTGGGATTACAGGTGTGAGCCCCCACACCTGGCACAAGTGGGGACATCTTGAGTCAGAAATGACTTGGTGCCCTCTGTCCATGGAGGTAGCCAGGCTGGCTAGAACATGAACACTTGTGGGAGAAGAAGACTCACAGACCCTTAAAATGAGGCCAGCAGAGGTGAGGCAGGTCCAAGCCAGTGCAGGACTCCCTTCCACTCCCACACAGCCACCCTCAGGATGTGTCACTGGGGCATCTGAGGATCACCTGCTGTGCCCAATGTTGCCATCTGACCTGTACTGACAACGTCAGAGGGTGGGACACTCACGGGGGTGCTCCAAGGACAGGGGACAGGCATGGGAACACTCCAGGGGGATGGCCATGTACCTGCCCTGTGCCTGATTAGAGCCCCGCCCCACCCTGTGCCTGTCACGCCCAGCAGGTCCCTGCTCCAGCCCAGCCCCCAGGGGACAGGCTCCCAATGCTGGCCCCGTGGATTTTGGTTGAAGCCTCAGTCACTGGGGTATGTCTTTGGCAGCGGTACCCACCTCACTGTCCTAGGTAAGTGGCTCTCACAACCTTTCCCAACCTGTCCCACTCTTCTGCTGTCTCTGGAAAGTCTGTTTCCCTCTCTGGGGGTGCCTTGCCCTCTGTCCTCCCCAACCTTAAGGACTGACCCCTCACCTTTCTCCATGGGTCTGGGGAGGTGAGTTGGTCTCAGGGTAACTGCAGGAAGGGCCCCAACAGCAGCAGCCACCCTGGGTCAGGTTCCAACAATTGCCCACAGCCGAGTGCCAGGGCCCGGCTGGGGTGGCCAGGGATGGGCTCCTTCGGCTCCATGGGGCAGTTGTTGGAGTGGGCGGCAGAGGCCAGTTTTGATGAGGGCAACAGTGGCAGTGTTAGAGACAGTCCCTGAGACCCCAGGGTCTGGGCCACCAATGCCTGTCCCAGATGAGGAGGTTATCAGGGTCCAGGGACATGGGGATGCAGGAGGACACCCCAGGGGAGACCAGTGGAGGATGCAGAGAGGGCGCTGGATCTAGGCTGCAGCTCTCTGGCCTCTGCTGGGCCTTAAGAACATGTGGGCACAGAGGAACTGGTCAGCCTGAGGGAGGTGACTAGAGTCCAGCCCTCCTAGGAGAGGCAGCAGAAAGCCTCCCTTGGGGCAGAGGCTCCTCTGTCCCTAGAGCCCTTCACCCCTGGGCCCAGAGTCTCACCCGCCCATAATCGGCCTCCCTTCCTCAAAGAGCATCTTAGACTCAGAAGATGATGAAAGGCGGGTAAGTGTGGGTTCAGAGAACCCCATGGCTTCCAGTAAAGTTAGGAGTTGGCAGCGGTGCTGGGGTGGGGGTTGGGGTAGCAGCCATGTCCTGGAGTCTAGGGGAGCCCTCTGAGAACACAGCCAACACAAGGGGTCCTATGGTTGGGCTGGTGGGGTGGGGAGATGGCAGAGCCTCAGAAGAGTGCCCAGGAAAGCTGAGTGGGCTGGGCTGGGCCATAGCCTGGTGCCCCAGCAGGAGGCTCCAGGGCCCACCAGGTGCCGTGGACAGGCTTGGGGCCTCCCCACACAAAGCCAGGGCCATCCTGTGGGCTGGGCAGGGAATTCCTAGATTACAGAAGAGGCTCAGGCACTGGAAAGATGAAGGGGCACCTGGGGCTGGTGACAAGGGATCGGGAGGTCAGGGCCAGATTCCAAACTCAGACTCCAGAAACCAAGGAGGAGGAAGCACAGTCTGCCTGGGGGGTGGGAGTGGGGGGCTGAGGCTACAGAAGGGCGTAGCTGGGTGGGTCACCTGAGAATGGCTTCTAGGAGGGTGCAGGGCTGTCTGCTCTCTGGGGACTCCTGCAGGGAAAAGGGAAAGACAGAGGAGGAAGGGAGAGTCCTGGGTGGACCAGATGACCCCACTCAGTAGCCACAGACTTCAGATGAGATGGTGTCCAGCACTCAGACTCTCCCTCAGCCATCTACACCCGTCCGCTCTCCACACAGGGCAGCCCAAAGCCGCCCCTTCAGTCACTCTGTTCCTGCCCTCCTTGGAGAGGTTCCAAGACAGTAAGGCCTTATTGGTGTGCCTGATAGCTGACTTTCGCCCGGGATCCATCTCTGTGGCCTGGAAGGCAGACGGCAGCCCCATCACCCAGGGTGTGGAGACCACTGAGCCCTTGAAACAAAGCAATGGCAAGTATGTGGCCAGCAGTTACCTGAGCCTGACAGCTGACCAGTGGAGAGGTCACAGCAGGTACAGCTGCCAGGTCACGCACGAGGGCAAGACCGAAGAGAAGACAGTGGCCCCTGCAGAATGTGCTTAGGGCCCCGGCCCCCACCCCAGCCACATGGGCCTGGAGCTGCAGGATCCCAGGGGGCCCTTTCTCACCCCGACATCCTTTTCCCCAAGTCTCTTCTGTCCCCCTAAGCCACCAGGCTGGATTCAGCTCAAACCAGGGGCTCTCTCACCCTCCCCAATTCAACTTCTCCTCAATAAAGACCTAATTGTGTATCATCCAGCATCACTAATGTGCCTCTAGTGTCCAGTCATGTCTCTGGGCTGAAGGGTTGCTGCTCAGGGGCAAGGGTATTCCCAGTGAGACCCCACGTCCCCGTTGTTCCACCCATGTAACCCACTCACAGGTGGGCTGCCTGTGCTGGTGGGAACCATGATCCACAACAGTAAGTTGCAGAGTAGCCCATAGGGTGCTGTCCTTGCTTACCTGGCAAGGGAGAGGGACCCAGTGGGAGTGACAGGGGGAAGGTCTGAGAGGGAAATCAGGAGAAATGACTAGGGTCTCATGAGCACAGCGGTCGGAGGCAGAAACAAGGAGAAAGGAGATCCTTGAGCAAAGGCCATCATCTGAGCAGGAACAGAGGGAACATCCCAGCTCCACAACGAGCAAAGTGTTTACCAGGTAAGGGGTCCATGGTTGTCATAACTGGGAAGTCAGGGAAATTTTTGGAAAATTAAATACACAGGTGTATTTCTCGGCTTTCACAACACATATTAACTAAATAAAGGAGCTGACGAGTCATGTAGTAGGGAAACAGTCTGATCTAATGATACACAATGTTTCCCAAATCATGTTCACCCCATGACACTCCATGAGACACCAGTGTTCCGTGAGGCTGATGCACACAGGGGTGGTCGGTTTAGGTTGGAAGGCTGTTGGGATCTCAATTATGAAGAGTCTCCCCATCTATCGTTAGGTTCAGAGAGTCAGGGACAGCTTTGTGGATGAGCTGGGGGATATTCAGCCTGCATTGAGGGAGGATATGGTGAAATTGGACAAATGAGAAAAGGCACTGACCCCAGCACAGAATGTCTGGGAGGCTCAGTCTGTGGGATTCGAGAACCATTGGGGCTAAGTGACACTAGGTCAGAGCAGAGTGACTACGGGCTAGTGGCTAAGTCAACATCAGGCTTCCATGGGGTCTGAGCACCCCTAGAGCCTCCTGCCAGCCCACCACACTGCTTCCCTTGCTCACTGTGGCTCAGCCTCCCACGCCCATGTGCACCTGCAGTCTGATGTCAGACACATTCACCCCACGGGCCCTCACAGCAGGCAAGGTCAGCCTCCTGGATGTGGAGATCCAGCCACCCCTATGGGTCCTCAGTGCCCTGGGGCTCTCAGACCACCCTGTCTCTGCCTCCAGCACATCAGGGAGGAGAAACTGCCTTCACCAAGGCCGTTAAGTGGCCAGCCAGGCCCAGAACTTGAGAGCTAAGGCCACAAAAGTCCCACTTGGAGCTTTATCCCAGCCACCTCTGCCCCAAATCACAGCCTCCAAGCTAGAAGAAAGCTTAGGGGTCCTCATGTCCTGCAGGATCACAGATGTGAAAACTGAGATCCAGTGGAATTTGGGACCCCCCAGGGCTCTCTCGTTCCTGGTGCAATACCAGCCTCCCCCCCACCCCCAGCTACTGCCCAGAGGCTGACCTCCTCTTTATGTTGTGATTTTTTATTACAGGGAACTTTGAACACAAAAATAAAGAAAAAGGACTAATAATGACCTCTCTGTTCCCATCACCCAGCCCCCCAAATAAGCGATTCATAGGTAATGCTGACCCACTGATGGAACAACTCCTGCCCTTACTCAATATCTACAAGCAAATTCTGACACTGTATCTTTTCACCTATAAATATTCTATTTCTGTGCTAGAAAGATAAAGATATAACTACAATATTATTACCACACCTACCCAGAAAGTATTGGTAATTTCCTTAATATCAAAAAGCAAGCCAGGTCTCATCAGATCCCTTTGGAATGCCACAGTATATTTGTCTGTTGCTATCTGTGGGTTTTCAACACGGTTTGAATGGGTGAAGGGTGTATGTGTTATGAGGCCTGTGTAACCTGCAGGAATCTCCCAGATCGTGCCACTATTTCCTGGCAAGGCAGGAGCTGCAGGAGCTGAGAGCCACTCCCAGGACCTTCGCAGGGTCAGGGACAGCCTCGGCCTCCCTAAGCTGGAGCCAACCAGCCCAGTTCTGTCCTCAAAGTGCTTCAGGCATGGAGAGCTTTGCAGGGTTCAGGCTGGACATTTACAAAACAGCTTCCCCAAAAGTTTGGCTACTTTTAACATGTCTCATGTTCTGGGGAAAAAAAGAAGAAATGTAGACTTCTTTTATTTATCACTTTACAAATTGATGCCCTGGTGCCTGGCCATACTCCCTGGGTGAACAGTCAAATTCAGTGCCATTTGAACTCCAGCACGTAGGTATATCCGGCATGTGGGACCCACGGTTGTTATATTTCAGTGGTAATGATGATGAGGCTACATGGATATCTGCCCCCTGGGAGCCGCTTCAGGTGGCTCCTGAGATCCCTGACATAACCTCGGGAGACCCTGATGGGCCCTGATTTCTGGTGAGACATGTCACACCTCATTGTGTCTTGTTGATCTGGCTTCTCTCTAGCAGGAGGTGGTTTTTAGAGACCACGGTCAGGACCCCTGCTCATGTGTCCCATCAGAATGAGGCAATGGCAGCCACCACACAGCTGACCCACTGAACCTGAACCTAATTGAGGAGACACAGGGAAGCTCCCAAGGTCACCCTGGACGATAAGGCTGGAATTTCTCACAGAGACCAGTCCTCACTGGCCAGGCCCATGACAACCAGGAACAACTCAGGGAAGGTGGAGCTGAGACCTCTGGAGGCTGGGTCCTTAACATCATCACATCTGCAAAGTCCCTGTAGCCACACAGCACGGCATACGACAGGTTCTGAGATGGGGGGACAAAACAGTCCTTGAGGGACCCTAATTCAGCTGACCACAGCCGTTTCCAGCTCCCTGAGGATTCATGAAAAGTCTCCTTCCATTTCTCTGTGCCCTGCCCAGTGGGGCCTGGGCCACTCCTGGGGGGTCTTCCCATGCCTTCCCATCCTGGTGGTCCCTGGTCTCCACAGCCCCTTTTCCTACTGGAGTCCCAGAAAGAGACTATGATTTTAGTCACAGCTCTGGGGCATTTTCATCCCGCAGGTCCCCTAAACCTAAATGCTCTCCACCCCTTACCTCTCAGCCTGCCCTTGGGGCAAGATCCTGTCATAATCCTCAGCCAGTAGTGGAGACGCCACAGCCCCATGACCCTGAGTGACCATCTAGCCCCACAGCAGGGCCTCAATTCAAGGCCTTCCTGCTCCAGATCTCAGCTCTGGACTCCAGGTGCCCAGCCACCCTCAGCCCACTCAGCCAGTCCCTCCTGCTTTATCCAGCTTCCTCGCTGAAGAGCCCAGAGCCCACTGGGCCCAGGCCTCCTGCACTATGACCCAAGGGGACAGAGTTGTTGGGACCAATGACAGATGGAGCAGGACAGGGGCCTCGGGTCAAAGTGGGTCCTCCGTGTCAGAAGTCAGTCAGGGCACGTGTGCAGGGGCCATCAAAGAGTCCCCTCTTCTTGGAGCCCCCACCCTAGTCTAGGTTCTGAGAGGTGAGGGTCACCCGAAACACAAGGTCCCTCGGGGTCTGCCCCTGCCCACTGCAGCCTCATTTCCCGTCATCCTTCCCACCACCCAGGGCAGCCTCCAGTCCAGCAGAACTGAACTAAACCATTGAGCCCTCAAAGGGAACGCATCCTGGCCATGGCCCTGCCTCGCGGGGACCTAGGCTGAGGGTGGTGCTCTGAGTCAGAGTTGGGTAACATCTTCATTCTCACTCCACAGTGCTCACTGAGCCCAGCATTAGTGGGAAGGGTGGGCCTGTCCCCAGCCAGCATTCTCATGAGGACACAGATGCCCCCAGATGAGACGACCAGATCCCAAGAGAACCAAGTTTCAAAACCAAGTTTTCCTGCCAACTACCAAATGCATACTTTTGAGGTAGATGAGATAGTCACTACTCACTTGCAATGCCCATGGTTAGGACACAGCACAGTGATCATCACACCTCCCAGCATGGGCCCGCCTTTGACCCTATGTCCCCATATGAACTAGGACAGCCTCACCAGGGCCATACCCAGGCAGTCACCATGGGGTCCCTGGTCTCACATGGCTGTTGCCCAGATCCCCTGGGGATGAGTTCACTCCAGTCCAGCTCATCAGACGCCAGGGGTGACCCTGACCCCATTTTCTGCATAGCTTGGGGCATGCAGAGACCAGCAAGTATGTGTCCTTTGGGAAGCCCTTGTTCCTGGAGAAACTGCAGGACTCGAGGAGAATGTCTCGGTGCAACAAGAGCAGGAGCAGGGGAAGGTCTGGGTCACTTCTACAGCCAGCGTCACAGAGCTGGGGTCCTCATATGCCCCTGTGTCTACTCTGGGACAGAGTAATGCATGGCTAGGAGGTGTTACTAGCCACCTGTCACACCTCTGTTTCCACACAACCCACACACCCCACCCCACCCCATCCCCAGTAACTCTCTTCCTATTGCCACATTCACAGCCTGGATGTGGCCGTCCCCTCCTGCTTCTCATGTGGGGCCAATGTCCACTGAGTGTCCACTGTACCAGCTGCTGCACCAGGCACTGGAGCCCGGGCCACCCAGGTACCTGCTAGGATGGGCCACCCCTGGCCACCCAGCACCCGGCCTGTGTGAGGAGACGTCAGGGGTTCCTGACCATGGAGACGGCGGAGGAGAAAGGGCTGAGTCTCCTCAGTTGCAGGCTGAAGGGGGCCCCCTGCCTGGACCCCTGACACTCCTCTCCTGGACAGTCCAGGGAGGAGGGAAGGAAGCAGTAGCCAGACAGGTGCCTGGGCTCCCGCAGAGGACAGGAAGGCCACACAGGCCGGCAGCAGAGAGTGGCTCCCAGAGGGAAGGGGTGCTGGGCCTGGAGGTGCTGCCAGAGAGACTGGGGAGGGTGAGACCCAGGGCAGCCAGGTGAGCCCCGTTCTCAGGGCCTGGTCACCTAGGGGCTTCAGCTCAGTTC